CTTTCACCCATAAACAGTGCAATTTAGGCCTTTTCCCTCTTGTAGAAAGCTTAGGGTCCTATGACCCTGCTTGAGCCAGCCAGAGGAGCTTCGGGGTGTGATTCTTGGATACTAATTTAATTCCTCGCCCCATGTTATTTTCCTGTTGCTTCCTTTTTCTTATTTTATTTCTATCATGCTATCTTGATCTGTTTGGGAAACCATCTTAACTCCATTTTGGACAAAGAGGGATATGGATAAATAAAACATTCTGAGTTTATTTTTTCTTCTAAAAATGTTCTTTTTCTCTTTGGAGGGAAAAGGAGGAGAGTCTAGAAATTGTTTTTGGTTCAAATAATTCTCTCCATGAGCAACATTTAGAAGTGTGGAGGGTCAAGTATGATTGTACTCTACTTATAAAAGTTCAAGAAAAAGAACTACTAAAAAACAAACCCAGAGGCCAGACAGTGGCGCAGCAGTAGAGCACAGAGGCTGAGAGGGCGACCCCTGGGGGGGTTCCGAGGTTGCTTCTGGTGAGGCTCTCAGTGTGCCAGGTGCACACGTGCCTATGCGCCCAGGATGGCAGGGGCGCCCAGGATGGCAGGGTTTACGGGGGCGGGGGGGGGACTGCAGCGTCAAGACCCTGTGGGGGTGCTGCCCCTCTGCTTCTCTCTCTCTCTCTGACTCTCTCACCCATGGAAGAAAAGAGTAAATGAACTTAAAAATGAAAACAAGAAAAAACAGTACTATATAAACATCGTACAAGACTATTATTATTTTGCTATCGGGCACAGGCACTTGCTAGAGAGAGAGAGTGAGAAAAAGAAAAAGGGAAAATGAAAAATCCACCTCTCCCCCGGGGGGGTGGGGGTGGGGACACAGCCATGCCTCAGTTCTTTCTCCTCCACTCTCCTCTGAGGATTTTGGGCATGAATGCCTATGCACCTGTGGTGTTCTCCATGCCGCCAGGTCCAGGACTTGAACCACACACAAGGTCATGTAAGATCCAGCTGCCTTAACCACTACACCAACTGGGTGGCCTCCTACAAGACTATTATTAAAATGGTAAGCAAACAAGTATTTATTGGCTTTTCATATCAAAGCCAGAGGAAAAAGTTTAGATTGTAGAAGAACATAAACTGCACATATGGATGGGTTACTCACTTTTACTACACACATTAAATGCCTACTGCAGAACAGAACTGGATTTGTGAACCCAGAGATGTGTAAGACTCCATGCCTGACCTCAGGAAATGCATGTGCCATGGAAATAATATGGCACCGAGGGAGGAGCACACGGATAGCTGTGAATCCATATGGGCCGTGTGACATGTCTGAGTCTCCTTTCTCATAGAATTGTGACGCTCAAAGACACATGTAATCTGCTGAGGACAGGAGCAATGGTTATTTATCAAGATCTAGACTGACAGAGTTATGAAACAATACATTATTAGAATACATTACTAGAAGTTGGAGGGAAATAAAGACAAAAAATGTACCTGAATACTACCTATATCAGAGACCACAGAAACTTAGAACTGGTAGAGAGAATGAGAGAGGTTTCCGTTTGTTTAGAGAGTTTTTGCTACAGGGTGCATGCTGCATGCACTTGCCAGAGACACAGAAAGTGAGAAATCATCTCCCAGCTGGGATGGCCATGCCACAATCCCTTCTCCTCCATTCTCCTCTTGGGATCTTGGGCACGGCATGCACATGTGCCTCGTGTGAGTTTTAAGCACCAGGTCTGGGACTCGAACCGTTGTCAACTAGTGGGAGCCCAGCGATGTAACCAGTACGCCATCTGCTGGTCCCAAGAATGGCTGATTTTGAAACAGAACCAAAGAATTTAGGAAGTGGTTCTGCATACAGATATATGTCTCACATGGTCCCATCTCAAGACGAAAAGCCTTGGGAACTTCATTGCCTATGCTTGACCCTTGGATCTCCTGATTGGAAATGCAGTGCTCTTTGTACTCCAGCATCTTCAGATTTTAGAATATTTGTGCAAACATAATGAGATACCTTGGGCACGGGCCCAAGTCTCGAAACTGTTTTAATTTATGTTTCATGTATACCTTATACATACATAGCCCTTTTTTATATGACTTTCTTTTTCTTTTTCTTTTTTAGTTTTTTGCCATAGGGCAAGTGTACTTGTCAGAGAGAGACCAAGAGAGACAGTGAGATGGAAAGTGAGAACTCACCCCCAACGGGGGAGAGGCATGCTGCAATTCTTTCTTCTCCATTCTCCTCTCAAGATTTTGAGCACACACACACAAATGCCTAGCGTGGTTTATTAAGCCACCAGGACTGGGAGTCGAACTGCTATTGGCCATGTAGAAGTCCAATGCCTTAGCCAGTGCCACCTGCAGGCCCTATGTAACATTTTGTATTGCAGTTTTCACTGTATTACACGAGGTCAGGTGTGAAATTTTCCACTTGGGGTGTCATGTCAGCACTTGAAAGTTTCAGATTTTGGAGCAAGTCAGATATTGAATTGGGATGCTCAACCTGTAATCGCCCCTTCAACACCTATGTAACCTGGCATTCACGGACATAGTAACCTTAAAGGCTTTTCAGAGATGAGATGTAGTATTACACAGGTGCAGCTTTAGGTCAGTGGTTCCAGTCACGATTGCTTAGTAGA